TTACAATGCACCTTAAAGTTACATACTTAGTTAAATTACAACTTAATTTAATTACAAAATATACTTTAACTGCAATAAATTTTAAAGTAGCAAATAATTTAATTTTAATATTATTAGAATATTATTTAACAACGCGCTAAGTTTTTTTAACTAAAATGTTATTTTTTTTAATTTTATATTAATTTACTATTATATTAATTTAGTGGTTTATTATACGACTCTATATATGTTTGCAATTTTTCACTGGTAGAAGTTTCTACTTTAACTTGGCGCAATTTTTTTTTATATCATTACATTTTTAGTAAGATTCTACATGGATATACAATGGATAATTTTTCATACAATTCTACATGGGTTTGCAATGGTTTATTTTGTATAGAATTCTACATAGGTTTGCAATGATTAATTTTTCATAGAATTCTACATAGGTTTGCAATGATTAATTTTTCATAGGATTCTACATGGGTTTGCAATGAGTAATTTTTTGTTTAAAGTAATAACAGCAATCAATTGTCAAATGTTTTGGTTATTATTTAATCATCTTCAGTGACAAACTACAATACAATAATTGATATTAATAAATAATCGGATAAATAAGAATAAATTAATTTACCTTTAGAACAGCAGTGATATCAGTTAAAAAACAACGATCTATGTCTACATATTAAACGGAATTAAACTCGGTGAAAACAATTATATTTTGAGGCACCGACAAAAGTAGAAGAAAGGGGACTCAACAGAGAGAGAGAAAAGAAAAAAGAAAAAAGAGAGGAGAAAAGCGGATAGAAATTCAAATATCTCCCAGAATAGGGAAGATAACATATACTGTATACCTCTCATAAACTCATCTTGAGTGATGCGGGTGTTGTCTTTTATGTACTCCCATCTTTTTGTTAAACTAGAAATAGCCAAATCTATTGGTATATTAGTGAACAAAGAGACCGCATCAAGTGAAACCAATTTATAGTTTGGTTCCAATCTTTCTATAATATTTTGGGAGATATTTGAATTTCTACTTTCAGAATCCTTTAACACAAAAAAGGCACCATAATTAGTTTAGTAGATAAAGTTATCAAACTATCCCATCCTCGTTTTTATCAAAAATATTTGAAAAAAGTTATACACATTTTATTGGATAACTGCTTTTCTTTGGATTTTATTTTTTAGACAATTAAGGACAGACTTTTTTATTTATTCTATTTATCTGACAATAATAATAATGAGGAGTTATCTGGTAATAACAAAGATTCACAAAAACCTTATTTCGTGTTTCTTTATGCTTACTCAGTGGAAAATAAATTTAATTTAATAACAAAAAGTTTCGGATACAAAACTACATTTTCGAAGGCCTATCTCAATAACATCATAAAAACACACAGACAGGTTGAAACATACTAATGCACGTAATGTCGTTTATAAAATCTCCTGCGGGAATTGTAATGCTACTTATGTAGGCCAAACGAAGAGGAAACTTAAAACTAGTGTCAAAAAACATCGGTCTGATATTCTTAGAAATGCAGCATCTCTTGTAATATCTGCATACCGCATGAAAAGTCATGAATTTGATTAGGACGGTATACAAATTTTGGATATTAAACATCACTACAAAAAAAGACTGATTTCTGAGATCCTGCACATTAAAAGACAAAAGAATAGCCTAAATAAAAAAAGTGACACTAAACTTTTCTCTGACGCCTACTCCTCAATTATCAATTCCTTATCCACCCTTTAAGTTTACCCGCTTTTCTCCTCTCTTTTCTTTTTTCGTTTCCCTCTCCCTGTTGACTCCTCTCTCTTCTAGTTTTGTCGGTGCCTCGAAATATAATTGTTTTCACCGAGTGACTTTAATTGCGTTTAATATGTTAACATAGATCGTTTCTATTCGATTTTTTTGATTGATATCACTGCTATTCTAAAGATATATTAATTTATTCTTATTTATCCGATTATTTGTTAATATCAGTTATTGTATTTTAGTTTGTCACTGAAGATGGTTAAATAATAACCGAAACGTTTGACAATTGATTGCTGTTATTACTTTATTACAACTTTACACCAAGATCGTGTACGTACTTTTTGCCCATTTGTTACTAATAATTATTATTTACTGAGTCTAACTAGTAAAAAGCGTGTTAAATAAAAATAATGCAAGAAAAAAATATAGATCCGAAAATCGCTAAATCGGGAAAGGAGACCTAAATTGTACTTATTAAGATAATATAAATCTTACTTTTATTTGGGACCTACTATACATATAAAATAGCACACATCTCTATTAATTCTCTAAAAATTCTTAGAGTTCATAACTAATAAATATATAATTAATAACGATGAAAATTAATTTTGTTCACCAGGAATGAAAAACTATGGTTATAAATTTGAACTGACAACACTGGCTTTAATTTAGAGTTGTTAATATATGTTTATTTTAACGTTTCGACCATACGGGTTGTGGTCCTTATCAAAAATACAATTGTGATATCCTAAAAAAAACCGATATTGTTACATCAGCCACGCTAATTGAACGAAGACATGAATTACAATTTAAAGACTTACTCGGAGTTACAGCATTTCGTCTTTTAGATGTGAGAATAAATTATGATTCGGAGAGATTTAACTTATGTCAAAATAATCAAATTATATCGAGTTATGTTTATGTCATCATGCCTTGACATAACGAACAGTACTAAAGTCGATAATAACGCCAAATAAGTATGTCAGAGGTCTCTCAACTTTTTGAACACAACTGTATGTAAGGATGATAATAATCTTATAACTAATTGGTACAGAAAACCAACATTCTCAGGAAGATATATCAATTTCTTCTCAAATCATCCAATATGAAATATAAAATTAACATTATTATTAACCTAGTCGACCATGCAATACTTTTGTCGGATAAACGGTTTCACGACTCAAATTTAAAAATTGTAAATAACATACTTGTTGAGAAACAGACAAATAATTTGAATGGTAATTTCGTGTCAAATTAATTGTAAGTACAAATAAACGTTAGAGGTAAGAACCCGCTTTTTCAAAACAAACTTGTTATTCCCCGCCAGCGAGGCAAGGACAGCAGTTATCAATATTGATCGATATGAGAAATCAGCCGTTGACCGCGTGATTTCTGTCCCTTCACTCGGTCGGAAATCAATACCGGCCAATCGTGATTCTTCGCAAAAACAAGCGTCCCCTCCAAGAGGTCGTGTCAAAATCTCGCGCCTCGGCGAAGAACGCCCCGACTCTGAGCGTTCACTCCTCGAAAAACTGTAAAGTCAGCGACACCGAAAATCAGAACGATTACAGATTGGTTGAGTAATTCGAACATAACGTCTAAGACTGAAAGTGTACTCAAAAAAAAAATTAACTAATTGTGATACTGCATTCGGAGTGTTATCTCTCGAGAGTTCTCTTGTCAGCTGTTCTTTCCTTCGCGCTCTCTCTGAGCGATACCGGCGTCCGCGGTCAACGCGAACAAGAAAAAGGGGAAACCCAGTTTGCGTACGCGACATTGTTGGTCCTTCGAGCCGGATCGAAGGAATTGTGGAAGCTCAACGACCTTGGAAGTGACCACTGTGACGGAGATCTGACAACATCATGAGTGAGCAGTTGCTTGCCAAGCAGCAGTCACAACTGCACTCGGTGGCGCGAGCTCTTCCGAATTTCAAAAAACTCGGAAAGAACAATTATACGCCAGCGCTAATTCGATCGCGACTGACGGGCCTGAAAGAAGCTTGGGCGCTGTACACGGCCTCTCACGCTGCGCTGATCCATGTCTTCCCAGGGGCCAAACGGAAGGACGTCGGCTACTTCGACAATGCGGAGTTCGAGGAACACGAGGAGATCTTCCAGAGGACGGCGGACTACATGACGGAATGCCTCGAAGAATTGGAGCCTCCTCTCAACTCAACTCCATTGGCAAGTCCACCGGCGTTCGGTAATCCCTTTGCGTTACTCTCCTTGTCGCACCTACCGTCTATCAATATACCCCCGTTCTCGGGAACCCATGAGGACTGGGAGAGTTTTCGCGATCGATTCACGTCGCTCATAATTAAAAATACAGAGTTAACTGCATTTTCCCGCATGCATTACTTAGCGTCTAGTCTCTCCGGGCGTGCTCTGGAATCGATACGAACTGTCCCAGTCACCGCCGACAATTTTGAAGTCGCTTGGCGATTGCTAGTCTCGCGCTATGATAACAAACGGCGACTGGTCGGCGTGCATGTCTCCGCGCTATGCAACCTGCCGGCCGTCACACGCGAATCGGCCGTCGAACTTAGCGAACTACAGGATAAAGCCAATCGAGCTATCGCGTCGCTCAGAAATCTCCACCGGTCGTCAGACGAAATTTTGAGTGATGTCCTAGTTCATCTCGTCACTCAGCGACTTGATCACGCCACGCACAAGGCGTGGCGACTGAAAGGAGGCAATGATGCCGCGATTCCAACATTCGAGGATTTAGATAGATTTATCTCCGCGCGCGTGCGAGCCTTGGAAGAACTCACGCCTCATAACGCGGCTAAGCCCACGCGTCCGTCAAGATCCGCCTCCGTGAACGCCGCCACCACGTCTCCAGTCTCGTGTCCGATTTGTAAGGCGAGTCATTACTTGAATAAGTGTCCGCAATTTGTTAAGAAAGGTCCGAGTCAACGCATGGAGTTCATCAAACAGCACCAAAGGTGCATTAATTGTCTCAGTGCGAAACACGCCTTGTATTCATGCCCAAGCCAATACACTTGTCGCCGATGCCAGAAAAGGCATCATTCGATGCTCCATGTTGATTCAGGCTCATGCGCTACCGCCTCGGTGGTCACTGCTGAATCGACTTCGCTTCGGTCGAAGCGAAAGGTAATCGCGGCGCGGTAGCGTTGTTTGCTTCGCAAAAATTATCGCATCAAACTCCGGTACTCCTTGCGACGGCGCGAGTCACGGTTCGTTCACCGGCGGGTCGCGACGCGAACGTGCGAGCGTTGCTCGATCCGGGATCGGAGATAACCTTCATGTCCGCTCGGCTTGCACAAACCTTAAGACTGCGTCGTTTCCAAGATCAGTTTTCACTCTCTGCCATCTGCGGTCTTAAAGCGGGTAACTGCAAGTTTGCAGCTCGAATTACGATCTCGCCGCAAAATAAATCAGAGCCGAGTCTCACAATCACTGCGTCGATTTTGCCTTCACTCGCTGATTACAATTCGGGGCTCGATCGAGCCAGGTGCAACTGGGATCATCTCGCCGATCTCGCCCTAGCAGATCCTCACTTCAATGGTTCTGATCCCATTGAGCTTCTCATCGGCGCCGATATCTATGGCGAGATATTCCTTGGCGAAATGCGGAAGGGACCTCGCGGGCAGCCCTATGCATTAAATACTATTTTCGGATGGGCAGTATCCGGTCCTACGAGTGTTTCACTTCAATCCCGCCGAACAATCACTGTTCAACATTGTTCGGCCTCAACGTCGCTTGCGCTCGATCGCGAACTGAGAAGATTTTGGGAGATCGAGGAAGTTCCGCGGCAGACTGTACTCGGCCCGGAGGAACAACGATGCGAGGATTACTTCATGACCACTCATTCGCGTTGTTCCGACGGCCGATACATTGTGCGCCTTCCATTCAAACGTGATCCTCCCATTAATATCGGTCGTTCTCGCGATACCGCTGAGCGATGTCTAAAGAGCTTACTTCGACGCTTTGAAATTAACGCCGAGTTAAAACAACAATATTTCAATTTCATGCGGGAATACGAAGCTCTGGGACACATGCGCAAAGCTTCACCTCTCTCAGAATCCTCTCAGTGCGTGTATATTCCTCACCATCCCGTCTTTCGCGACGGTAGTGCGACCACACACTTGCGCGTGGTATTCAATGCGTCGAGTCTAACGTCTAGCGGGAAATCGCTTAATGATAATTTACTTCCAGGACCGAAACTACAAACGGACTTGGCGGCGGTCGTGATGCGATGGCGACAGTTTCGCTACGTATACTCGGCCGATGTCGAGAAAATGTATAGGCAGATCGTCGTTGATCCGCGTGACACAAATTATCAACGCATATTATGGGTGGATACCGAGACGGAGCGCGTGCAAGAATATGAGCTCTTGACCGTGACGTACGGCATGGCGTCGGCGCCGTTTTTGGCGTTACGAGTGCTGCGCCAACTGGTCCGCGATGAAGGGCATTCCTATCCGTTAGCCGTGTCCGTCCTGACGGATAACATTTATGTTGACGACGTCTTGTTCGGCGCCGACGATATTCCTCTGCTTCGGCAGGCGCGCGCGCAAGTATGCTCATTGCTGCGCTGCGGCCAATTCAATTTGCGCAAGTGGTCCAGTAACTCGTCGGCTCTTCTGAGCGACATTGATGACAGCGATCACGGTTTGGCATGCAGCAAGGACCTTCAACCAGGCGAAAAGGTTAAAGTCCTCGGGATATGCTGGCACCCCGCTAAGGACGTGTTTCAGTTCCGCATTTCCTGCCCTCCCTCTGTCTCGATAACGAAAGATCGATTCTCTCGAATATCGCGCGAATATTCGATCCGTTGGGGTGGAGTGCTCCGGTCACGATAACGGCAAAAATCTTTCTTCAGCGACTGTGGCAATCACAGCTCGACTGGGATGACCAATTTTCCCCCGACCTCGCTGATGAGTGGGAAGTTATTCGGGCGTCACTCTTGTCACTTGATGGCCTTCAGCTCGATCGATGGGTTCGACGCGGATCGGATACAACGGCCTGCGAGCTGCACGGATTCGCGGACGCGTCCTCTCAGGCGTATGCAGCCGTGGTTTATCTGAGGCTTCTCTCGATCTCCGGAGAGGTCTCCTCGATGCTCCTCGTCGGAAAGTCTAGGGTCGCACCCGTTAAATCACTGAGCATTCCGCGATTGGAGCTCGCAGCAGCGGTGCTGCTCTCCAGATTAATGGAGTTCGTGATCGCGTCCCTCCACCTTTCCGAGGTTCCGTGCTACTGCTGGACGGACTCCACGGTCGTCCTTGCGTGGGTGACGCAACATCCGTCAAGGTGGCGAACGTTCGTGGCAAATCGCGTCGCGGAAATCCAGACCCGACTTCCCTCCGCTTCGTGGCGACACGTGCCCACCATCGACAACCCCGCCGACTGCGCGTCTCGCGGAATTCCCGGGCATCAGCTCGCATCACATCCGTTGTGGTGGCATGGTCCATTGTGGCTTAGGCTTCCGATCTCCGACTGGCCGGTGCCTGTCGACCCTCACCCTGAGACCTCAATGGAACAAAATGTAAAGACGCAAGTTCTCGTCGCGATGTCGAGAGACCCTGTCGAGTGGGATCTCGCCGCGCGCCACTCGTCGTGGCCGAAGTTAATGCGCATTACCGCCTACGTTATGCGATTTATCTCGCGTACTCACGGACGTATTACGTTGCCGGCTGAGCGCGTCGAGAGTCCCTCATCCTTGACGGGTCGCGAAATTCAACGCGCTACGAACTTTTGGGTAAAAACCATTCAAGCGGAGCTATTCGCGCGCGAGCTGACCGCGCTTCGAAGGGGAGACGCGCTCTCATCGAAAAGCGTACTGTTGCCTCTCGCGCCGTATTTGGACGAAGATCAAATAATTCGTGTTGGTGGGCGGTTGTCGCGGGCGCCCATCCCGGCTCACGTCAAACATCCGATCGTTCTCGCGCCCCATCCTCTCGTCCAGCTCCTCATACAGGATATTCACAAGCGATATCTCCATGCCGGCATCCAGCTTACTCTGGCTACGCTGCGGCAAAGGTACTGGGTGATCCGAGCTCGCGGTGCGGTCAGATCGGTCATCCATCGATGTGTCGCGTGCACTCGCGAGCGAGCTGCCGTCCCGACACAGCTTATGGGGAACCTCCCGCAATGCAGAGTCTCTCCTCCCGCGCGCGCCTTCATTCACTGCGGAGTGGATTATGCTGGCCCGATACTACTTCGAGCGATGTCTGGGCGCGGTGTGGCCTCCCGAAAGGCCTACATCGCCATATTCGTGTGTATGGCAACGCGCGCGGTACACTTGGAGTTGGTCAAGGGGTATGCCACTCCGGCATTTTTGGGGGCCTATTCGCGATTCGTGGCTCAACGGGGTCTTCCGACGGCGGTGTACTCCGACAACGGGACCACCTTCGTCGGAGCGGATCGCGAACTCACAGTCGCGTTTAGAGCGGCTCTTCGCGATCCCGGTTTTTTTAACAGGACGGCTTCGGACAATGTCGAGTGGCATTTTTTGCCTCCTCCGCCCCTCATTTTGGCGGCCTATGGGAGGCCGGTGTACGAAGCGTGAAGCACCACATTCGCCGGGTGGTCGGAACGCACACGCTGACGTTCGAAGAATTCTCCACGCTTCTTTGTAACGTCGAGGCCTGCCTCAACTCTAGGCCCATAGCACCGCTCTCCGACTCGATAGATACATACGACCCGTTGACCCCCGGGCATTTTCTCATTGGTGCTGCTCTTAACTCGAGTCCGGAGCCTTCCCTGTTACAGATAAAAGAAAATCGCCTATCTCGATGGCAGTTGGTTCGGCAGCTCACCGAGCGTCTTTGGAAGCTGTGGCAGAGCGATTATATTAACATGCTGCAACAGCGGGGAAAATGGCGACATATTGAGAAGCCAAATATTCGGGTGGGACAATTGGTTTTGCTTCGCAATCCACTGCTTCCACCGTGCAAGTGGGAGCTCGGCCGCGTTGTTTTGTGTCACCCGGGTCTCGACGAATTGGTTCGCGTTGTTACGGTAAAAACGGCGTCGTCCGAGTACAAGCGTCCGATCGGTAGACTGTGCCTTCTGCCGATCGATATTGAGAAGTCGGAAAGCGCCGACAAGTGATGTCAAGTCTCGCCTCGACATGCCGACCACCTCGCTCAATTCTACTCGAAACCTTTTCTGCCTCATTAGTCACTCGCATCTCCTTTTTTCTTTCGAAACTATTGTTTCGAGGTGGGCGGTATGTTGAGAAACAGACAAATAATTTGAATGGTAATTTCGTGTCAAATTAATTGTAAGTACAAATAAACGTTAGAGGTAAGAACCCGCTTTTTCAAAACAAACTTGTTATTCCCCGCCAGCGAGGCAAGGACAGCAGTTATCAATATTGATCGATATGAGAAATCAGCCGTTGACCGCGTGATTTCTGTCCCTTTACTCGGTCGGAAATCAATACCGGCCAATCGTGATTCTTCGCAAAAACAAGCGTCCCCTCCAAGAGGTCGTGTCAAAATCTCGCGCCTCGGCGAAGAACGCCCCGACTCTGAGCGTTCACTCCTCGAAAAACTGTAAAGTCAGCGACACCGAAAATCAGAACGATTACAGATCGGTTGAGTAATTCGAACATAACGTCTAAGACTGAAGTGTACTCAAAAAAAAAATAACTAATTGTGATACTGCATTCGGAGTGTTATCTCTCGAGAGTTCTCTTGTCAGCTGTTCTTTCCTTCGCGCTCTCTCTGAGCGATACCGGCGTCCGCGGTCAACGCGAACAAGAAAAAGGGGAAACCCAGTTTGCGTACGCGACAATACTGAAAAACAATTGTTTTCCGGATAAACTCATTAAAAATACATCAATAATAGAACCCATAATTTGTTACAAGCAATGTAGATCAAAAAATTTTAAATAGAAATTCGACAGTCAATTTGAAGGAAAACTTCATCGTCATCCCATATTGCAATGGTTTTTTAACGACATTTATAGATTTCTAAGGAAAAAACAACTTAATGTAATTTTTACCATCCCCAAAAAACTAAATTGTTTAATAAAAACAGGAAAGATAATTAGATATTAACAAACAAACTGGCGTAGTTACCGTATCAATTGTAACGATTGCGATTCTAGTTATGTAGGGCAGACAAACGACATCTCGGTATAAGGATTATGAACATAGACGCAATATTAAAAATTCAGCGAGTAATTTTTCTGTTGTTAGCGAGCACAGAATTATTCTAGGCCATGAATTTGATTGGTCTAATCCTTCTGTCTTGCACAAAGAAAATAATAGAAGAAAAAGGGAAATCGCCGAAATGTATTTTATTAAAAAACTAAATTCCACAATTAATTTACATAAAGACACAGAAAGTCTTAGCACGGTGTATGATTGTTTGTTTAGAAATTGATGTAACCTCTGACATACTTATTTGGCGTTATTATCGACTTTAGTACTGTTCGTTATGTCAAGGCATGATGACATAAACATAACTCGATATAATTTGATTATTTTGACATAAGTTAAATCTCTCCGAATCATAATTTATTCTCACATCTAAAAGACGAAATGCTGTAACTCCGAGTAAGTCTTTAAATTGTAATTCATGTCTTTGTTCAATTAGCGTGGCTGATGTAAACAATATCGGTTTTTTTTAGGATATCACAATTGTATTTTTGATAAGGACCACAACCCGTATGGTCAAAACGTTAAAATAAACATATATTAACAACTCTAAATTGAAGCCAGTGTTGTCAGTTCAAATTTATAACCATATAATTAATAAATTTCTTTACATCTTAAAAAATGCACGCATTTTTTTGTTAAAAGATAAAATTACTTACCAGAGAGCTCTACAAATAAATAATTATAAATTTCTTTTATCATAACTACAAACGTCAATAACTATGCTCACTTCTGATACTTATTAAAGTTAGATTGATTTTGTCATTTCTATAGTCACTTTGTTGATTTTATAAATATTTCGTAGTGTACTTTGTACATGAACATTAATATTAATTATTGTTATTTTGCATTTGAATATCATTATAATGTTAATGACATTCCAATCATGTTTCCTGTTGTAGTAAATTTATACTGTTTATAAAAATTAAGTTCTCTTAATTTTTCTTTAAAAATAAGCAAAATTTAAACAACTTTGATAAAAATGAACAAATTTAAATCCAAAGAAAAAGTTTCAAAGCTTGCAATCTTTATAAAATGTTACTTTTTTTAGTTTCTGTGAATTTATAATTTTTGAAAACCATGAATTATATATATATATATAATATATATATATAGATAGTAGTAGTAGTAGTAAATTTTATTGGTCCCCTTGGTTTCAATTCCCTTACAATTTAACAATACAGCAGCCGCATATACAAAGGTGCTAATTCAAACAAAAACAAAAAAAAAAACAAAATATAAAAACGCGCTACCATGACCTCTTCGCTATTAACCTCTTAACCTATCTTATTGCTAACTTAACCTATCTGTCCTAAGGGGTTGGACTTCCGCTTTGGGTCGCCCGTTGTCCAGGCCATCTCCCCTTGGCTTCTGCCCAACCCCATGTAACACACACACACGCTTCTTGGACTTCCGTTTCCTCTTGCTTTCTTTCTTAAACATCTTCCCCTTTGCCCCCCTCACGTCATTCTCTCCTCCATCATCCTCTTTCCCTTCCTATTCTCTCCACACTTCTCTCTCCTCTCCCTTTTCTTATCTCCCTTTCTCTCTCTATCTCTCTCATCCATCCTTCCCTTCTCCCTTTTCTCCTAGTATCTCCCCTCACTACGTCCTGCCAACTCTCTTTCCTCTCCCCCCTCACTTCACACACCTCTCCCATACATGCTCCCACGATTCTACCTCCTCTCCACATATCCTACATTTCCTCTTTTTCTGCTTCCTCCCAATACCTGCTTTCTAAAATCTCACTTCCTAATCTGAATCTTGCTATCCTCCTCCATCTTACTCTCTCCCCAATCCTTTCTTAAGTATTCTGGCACTCCTTTCTCCTCTAACCTCCTTGTACCATCTGTAAAATTCCGATCCCTTTATTCTCTCCTCCCTCTCCCTCCTCTGCTCCTCCAATCCCTCCTTATTACTCA